AACTACTTCACAGTTAGGGCGGCTAGGAGCTGGAACCAACTTCCAAGGGAAGTGGTGCTGGCCCCTACCCTGGGGGTCTTTAAGAAGAGGCTGGATGCCTACCTGGCTGGACTCATTTGAGTCCCGTTTTTTGTTTTGGGGTTTTGTTGTTCTCCCGCCCTGGCGGGGGGGCGGGCTAGAAGATCTACTAGGTCCCTTCCGACCCTAAATCTATGAAACTATGACACTCATACTCATACTCAGTGAAAATGAGCAAAATATGTTTAAAATAGTGCCAGTTACCACATTCTCTCATCCTACACTGAAACACCCAATTTAGCTGCACTCTTCATATTGGCTACACCCACTTAAACTGTCTCCACCTCAGTAACTCACAGAAATAGTAAGTTCAGCAGCATGAGGCTAGGGCTGGGAGAAGCTGCGACAAATGAGGTTCACCCAATGACTGAGATTTCAAACTGCAGGCTTAAAAGAAATGAAACAGCCTGCTTGGCAGAAGCACAGACACACAGCGTATATGTATCATTAAAGAGACCTAGGCAGGCACGTGAGCCTTCCTCCCAGAAGAGCTATTCACGCTAGCCAGGCTCCTGTAAGCCACAGATGCACTGACACAAATTACAGAGAATGGTTAAGAGAAATGCAAACCGTCTGAATTATAAAGGGAAAGCACATATTCCCCAGGATGTTATATTATGCCTAATGATGCTTTCCCAGGATTTCCTTTTTAAAAGGAAATTTAACAGCACACATATTTCACTATATACATAATTAGCATTTGAGCACTATTCGGTGCACGAATCCTCTAGCCACTTTGATAAGACCTAATCGCAAAATACTGGCGTTGGATCCACAGAGTGGAGTGCAACTCTGCTATCTAATTTGCCTTCCATGTTTAAAACTCTCCTGGATCTCAGCTCTTTAGCAATGTTTCTCCATTAACAAGTTAGGGCTCAGACCGTGACATACTTTCCACCTTGAGATTATACCGATTTTTGAAACCAGATAGTTAGCATGGCAGTTCAGGCTGATGTTCTGTCAATGGACATATGCGTGTATGTAGGCACAGCAGAAGAGAAGAATTTCTGATGTGAGCTTAGCATTTTGACCTAGATCTGTAGAACTCTGATATTCAGAGAAACCCAAAAGACTTGGACATGATTGTCAATGCCCCCCAACATTTGATTGAAACTCGGTATCTATACTCCTAAGGAAGTTTTAAAAATTTCAGTCGTAAGTGCCTGATTCTGATCTTCCTTGCACTTGTGAGAACAAGCATACGCCATGGAAGTCATTGGACTAGATCTTTAACTGAGGTAAAGTGGCAAAGCTCTAGTTAAGTCACTGAACTTATACCCATTTATGGCAGCTGAGCATTTGTCCTGCAGGGAGTTATAGTGACAGAGAAATCCTTCTTCACCCACTGATCACACAGCTTCTGCTTTATAAGACACAGCAGGAATTTAAAATGCACAGTACAGACACAGTCAAAAATTGAGTAAAAGATGCACATGAAGACAGGTATTAACTGGCCTAAGTCAGAATAGCTTCACTATCTGTACCAGCTGAGACCTGACCTAAAAAATCTCTGTGCAGCTACTATAATGGGAGAGAGGGCACTGGCAACACAGGTATTTTGAGCAGGTTACTTATCCCCTTGTACTGAAAAGTAAAGGTACTGAAATAATGCATCTCCCTGGCCAAAAAAGAAAAAAAAGGGGAAAATCTGAGCTCTTTCGAAGGAGATGATTATGATCTGTGGCATGTAAGACCAGAAAGAAGATCCACCAAAAAGACACATCAATGAATAAATACTAGAAGCACTTTGAAATTGTATGGCTCCTTTCATCCAAGGAGCTACAATCATTATTACTCCTATTTTACTAATTTTACTGATTACCCCCAGACCTGAGTTATGGAGGAGTTAATTGACTTGTAACTCTGATCCCAAAATTAGGAGTCTTCTTGGAGAATTTCTGGTTCCTTGTTATAATCACTAGGTCAGGCATGTCCTTAAATCAGACTTTCATCAAAATCAGACAAAATAAATTCCCTGCACTGAACAAAGCAAAATCTGCTTCACTGTAAATGGCTAAAAACATCTCATTATTTCAGGGCTTATGTTGTGAAAGTACTCTCTCAAGAAACTTTGATTTCTGAACAAGATCCAATATTTAAAAAGTGAAAGGCAATCCACAGTGATGCGTGGGTAATTAAAGAGTGCAGGAGACTTTTTTTTTGGCTTGATATCAAGGGATAATGGATCGAGATATTGACTGTTGTCTACAGTGGCAGGTATGTACAAGGCAGTCTACAGGCTTGTGTGACTCACCAATGTATTACATCCAAACAGAATCAAATTTTGCACTCCTTCATGGAAGCACAGCTTCCAGTTTACCAGTCAGTTCCTAAAGCCTGTGGCCGAGTCAGCTGAAGAACACAGGAAAGCAGCATTCTGTAAAGAATTACTCCATTGTCATTCTGCAGGGGCATTAAAGGAAAGTCTGATGGAAGTTCCTTCCAGCACCTTTTTGCATATCCACCAATGTACATCCGGGATGTCTTTATAATCTTTCATGGACGTCAAAGTACTTTAAATAATTTTCTCTACTGTTTCTAACTTTCCATTTCACATCTCTCCCTCCTTTGCTCCCTTCTTTGCAGGAACCTTGAAAGACTCATCATATAAAGTCTTCCAAACGTTGCTCTTTTGTGCTACAAAATATGGGGCTACAGTAAAGCTCTTTTGCTGCTGGGGGAAGATTTTGCTTTCATATTGTTAAGCTTCTCTCTCTAAAGCGATTTTTTCCCTTGCATCAGCACAGCCCATCATTCGAGACAGCTGCTCACTGGAGAATGCGAGTCTTCATTTCATCCAATTCCAGACTGCTCCAGGATTTCATTAGCAAACATTTGCAGGAAGCACAGCTGTGTATAAACAGTTATGCTTCACTATCTAGTCTAGGAAGTTATCATAAAAGATGTCCAAATGGCTTTAAAAGCTTTTCATATGTATAAGAACGGGGAAATTCACACAAACGTACATGCTACACAAACCAGCCTCTCCTACGAACAGGTGAAATAGGATATGTGGGAGATAATATGGTAATAGACATGAGACCTATATACAACCCAGTCTTTTCTGCAACATGTCATGGCCTCTACAATTTTACTGTTTCTCAAACCTCCCCACCATTCTTAATCCCTTGAGAGGGACTTCCAGTGCAGGTGGAAATTACAACAAGAGTTTAAATTTCTTTTTGCTGAAGGGTTAAAAGGCAAAAACTGAAGATGTGAGAATTTGCTCCACAGTAGCCACAACTACGTAAGACACTGAATGTGCAGTTGTTACTGTGCAGTCACTTATACAAGTACTAAATCACTGCACAGTAACTGGAGTTACTGCGCAATAGCATTGCTGAACGGCTTTTTTGTGACACTGACTGTACAGTAGCCCAACACTACGACACAGCAGTATCACAGCAAGCTTTCTGCCATGCAACACTACAGGGCAGTCAGCATCTTGTGTAGACATGGCTATTATAGACTAATACAAAAGACCCACTCCATACACAAAGCAAATATGAATATATCATACCCAAACCCTACCGCTTCAAAAAATAATCTAGCCTGACAACATGCAGCCAACATAATGAAAATTAAAAGGAAAGGTTGCTCGTTCTGAATATTATCTAAAAGAGTGAATCCCCAACCATGGCAAATTCTTAAGTCCGTTCTACCAACACTTACAAGGTTTCTACCATTTTTTTAAATTGTGGCCTAAAAACACCTTTTACCAAATTATATAAAACCACAGAAAGACCATCAAAATGCCTTTCTTGGCCTCTGTATTCAGCTG